GCTCCTTCCTTTCGACACATCTTCCTTCCTGACCCATGTCCAGGCACCAGGTGCCAAGGGGGCACTTTTCTGTGACAGCTCACCACTGTGCTGGGGCTAGTCCTGCGCTCTATCCCCTCCCCTGCACCACTGCAAATAATCTCCTGTCCGGTCCCTGCCCCACAGCCACAATGGGTTTTCATAAATGCAAATATGGTCTGCAAAACCCTCCAGTGAGGGGCTGGGGACAGCTCACTAGCGGAGCACTCACTCAGCACATGCAAGGCCCGAGGTCTGATCACCAGCACCACAAAGACAAAACAAAAACAATAATACAAAAAGAATACAGCAGTTTAATGTGTCTGACACCAAAGCTGTAAACTGCTGGCAAATACCTCAGGTCCCTCTGCGAGCTCTTCTGAAGGGCAGAGAGATACAAATGGTGCCACTTCTACCCCACCCACAGGGTGCTTTCTCCTTCTGCCCTCCTGCTCACCTGCCCCCTTTCCTGACGCCCCTCTAACTGGACTTGGCACAGAGCCCACACATGGTAGATGGCAAAGCCATACGACCAACAGCAGCCTGGGTGTGTGTGGCCCCTCACGGGTCCCCATCATTACCTTCTTCCCCTCTGGGGCAGAGGCTCCGGCTGGCTTCCTTCTCTGCCCCTCCCCACACCCGCCTCTGCCACAGCTGTGCTCCCCTCTGATGGGGCCTGGATGCGGAGGAAGCAGCAGCTGGAGGGGCCAGGGCTCATCCGAGCCAAGTGGTCACTTGGGCAGTGTGGAAATGAGGGGTGGGCTTTGTGCAAGCCAGAGGGAGCAGGGGGTTTGAGGGGAACCGAATCCCAGGAGTCCAGTGCACGGTGTAGAGGAATCTGGCTGGGCACAGCCCCTTCCCTGTCCCCACCAGGCCTCCCAGGAGGCCAGGAGGGCCTTCTGTGTCCCTGTTGGGGAGGGATGGAAGTCTGCTCAAGGCATCCCTAGAGAAAAGGCTCCGCCTCGGTAGAGGCCCAGGCATAAGGACTCACTGCAGCCGCGTGCAGACCAGGGAAGGGTGCACAGCTATCGGGCTGGGGGAGGCCCTGCCTCTTTGGACCTCAGGCAGCCTGGCATCTGAGCTAGCCTTGGTGGTCATGACTCCTCTGGCCTCCTGCTCCAGCCCACAGCCCAAGGCATAAGCCGCAGCCCCGGAGAGGACATGCTGGTACCCCGTCTTCATGAAGAGCTGTAAGTGGCCTGAGGAGCTGGTGGCTTGTTGGAGGCAGGAGAGCTGCTGGGTGTTGGTGCTGCTCTGAGGGCACAGCCGCCCTTCTCAGACGAAGTGGGAGGTCAGATTGTAGGGTGCTTTCTTTAGAGCCTCCAGGAAGAACTGTTCATTCTCCAGGAAGTCCCGGTCCTGCCAGGCAGATTAAGGTGCAAGCCCACAGCTGTGTACACAGAGGGGGGACCTGGATCCTCTCCAGGAGCCCGCCCTCGCCCTGGGCACCCTCCCCACTTACTCCCTGGCTCTGGGAGGCAGCAGGGAGTACAAAGTGCCCAGGCAAGGAGTGAGACAGGTCGCAGTCTGCCCTCCAGAGGCCAGTTAGCAGCGGGTGACTCCGTGTCTCTAAGCCTCGGTTTCCCTATCTGTGTCCAAGTGAAGTATACAAGGCACATAAAGCCACTGGTATTGAGCCCAGCCCAACAGGACACGCTGGTTGACAGCTGCTGTCACTATTACCAGTGGTCACTTAAGGTGTGATGCACAGGGCTTTTACCAGGTGCTTCATCGGCAAAGTGGCCTACAGCAGAGGTCTCAAGAGCTGTGCACTAAGCGATCTGTCTTATCATCCTCCTCGGCCTCCCTGCCAATGTCCTCAGCTGGAAGGACTCCGCAGTCCTGAGACTCCAGAGTGACCTGAGCCCAGGGGACACTCTCACCTGCTCAGCTGTGTGCTTCAGCAGCACCAGCCTTGCAAGAAGCTGCGCGGGGCCAGGGCCGGCCAGCAGCTGGCTGTGCTGATGGGAAGCAGGAGCAGAAGCCACAAAGGCAGAGGCAGCTGTGTGGAGGAGAAGTCAGGGGTCAAAGTGTGCATCAGAAAACCAAGCAGCATGTCTGATTCCTCTTCAAAGCCTCCCAGAGCTGAGTGCAGTGCTGCACATCTGTAATCCCAGCACTTAGGAGGCTGAGGCAAGAGGATGGCCTCACGTTCAAGGCCAGCCTGGACTACATGACAAGATCCTGTCTCAAAAAACCAAAAACAAACAAACAAACAAACAAAGCAATTATATACACTAATCCAGGTGTGGTGGCATACTCCAGGAGGCTAAGGCAGGAGAACCGTAAGTTTCAGCCTGGAGAACTTGGTAAGATCCTGTCTCAAAATACCAAAAAAGGGCTAGGGATATAGCTCAGTGTGAAGGCCCTAGGTTCAGTCACCAACACTGTAAAAAAAAAAGGCTAAAATATTAGACACCAAAATGTTATTTTCTTCTTCTTCTTTTCTGTCTTTTTGAGACAGGGTTTTGCTATGCAGTTCAGGCTGGCCTTGAACTCACTTTGTAGCCCAGGCTGGCCTTGAACTCACAGCTACCCTCCTGCCTCAGCCTCCCAAGTGCTGGTATTACAGGTGTGTACCACCACGCCTGGCATAGACACCAAAATGTTAAAGGTAGTTCACTTTAAGTCAGAGACTGGGGTTGATGATAATTAAAAAACAAAAATTCTTTTTTTTTTACTTGGTGCATTTTAGATATATACAATGATAACATTCACCTCATGAATTTGTAGCTATGCGTGACAGATCTTGCTTCTTTTTTTCCCCATTCCTCTCTCCTCCCTCCACCCTTCTTCTTCTATTTTTGACTTACGTTTTTTTTTCTGATACTGGGAATTGAACTCACGACCTTGAACTTGCCAGGCAGGTGCTGTGCCGCTGAGCTAAATCCCCAGCCCCCAATCTGACTTATTTTTATGAAGTTAACATGTATGACTTGTATAAAACAGAAGTAAGCAGCAGTGGCACACACCTGTAATCCCAGCACTCTATTAGGCTGACAGTTTGAGTTAGGCCTGAGCAATTTAACAAAGACTCTTTCTCTCTCCTCTGTGTTTTGGACAAACGGTCTCCATATGCAGTGCAGTCTGACCTCAAACTTGTGGTGATCCTCCTGTCTCAGCCTCTTGAGTACTGGGATTATAGGCCTATATGACTACGCCCAGCACACTAGACCCTCTCAAAATAAAAACAGGTCTAGGGAGAGAGCTAAGCACAAAGAGTCTGAGTTCAATCCCCAATAAAACAAAACAAAAATAAAAACAGAAGTACTAATAAGATTCAGGGTGTGGTACTATATACCTGTAATCCCAGGACAGGAAGAGTCCAAGTTTAACCCAACCTGGGTATCTTCTTTTTAAATTTTTTTTTTTTTTTTTTGGTTTTTCTCCAGTACCAGGAACCGAACTCAGGACCTTGCGCTTGCCAGGCAGATGCTTTGCCGCTGAGCTAAATCCCCAGCCCCCCAACCTGGGTATCTTAGTGACTTACTGAGACCCTATCTCGAGTTAAAAAATACAAAAAGAGAGAGCACTAAGGATGCAGCTTAGTGGTAGAATGCCCTTGGGTGTGATCCCCAGTGCCATGTGCATGTGCACACACACACACACAGAGCAAAAGATAACTTAAAAACCTAGCTGCCCCTAACTTACATGGCTGAAGGGCCTGCTGGAATCTGCCTGTAGCCCTGACCTGGGCCAGCTGAGCCTTATCCTTCCCTTTGAAGCCACTTACCACGAAGGATGGAGGGTGCTGTGCCCTGGGCCCTGGGCGGAAGCTCCAGGGGGTAGCAAGGTAGGTCATGTCGCACATGGTCGAGCTGGAGCCTCTGCTGGGCCAGGCTCAGGTGCTCCTGTCCCCAACCCCAGAGAGAAGGACTCAGCAGGGAAGGTGGCAGCTGCGCAAGAGAGGACGGGGCGGGGGAGAGGGGCCTGCCTGGTGCATGTGCTCTTCCTGCTGACGAAGCTGCTCCTGCTGCCGCTGCACCACCTGCAGCCTGGCCTGCTGCTCCGACTGCATCTGCGCTGCCTTGTGCAGCGCAAGCTCACCTTCCTCGTACTTCTTGGAGGCCACCTGCAAGGAGGCTGCTGGATCAGAGCTAGGTGGGGTCACTTGGTGGCCCAAGCCCCAGACCTGCCCGGCCGCACCTTGTGCATGTGCTCCACCTCCTCAACTCGGAGCTGCAGGCTCAGGGTTGTGGCCTTGACCTTCTCCTTCTCCAGCTGCAGCTCCTGCCGTTCTCGCTCCACAGCTTCCCTGTCTGTCGCCAACTGCGCTTCCTTGGCTCGGAGCTCGCTGGCCCTGATCTTCACTTCTGCCTGCTCCTAGAGGAGGCACAATCTTTGCCTCGGGCTTGGTGCAAAACCGGTGGGGTCTGCCAGCCTGCCCTGTCTCTCAGAGGGGCAGTGGAGCCAGGGCTTCCAGAATAGGCCAGAAAGGCCTGGGGGCAGGCCTGGTGCTCCTCACAAGTTGTGCAACCACAGCAGAACCATCCCTGAACCTCAGGTTCTGTGTGTGTGTGTGTGTGTGTGTGTGTGGTACTGGGGACAGGTTCTGTGTGTGTGTGGTACGGGGGACTAAAGCCAGGGCCTCAAGCATGCTAGGCAAATGCTCTATCACTGAGGTACATTCCAGCCCTACGTCATTTCTAAAATGTATGTCATGTCAGGCGTGGTGGCACACACCTGTAATCCCAGCACTTGGAAGGCTGAGACAGGAAGATCACCATGACCATGAGTTCAAGGCCATGCTTGGCTTTGTAGTGAGTTCGAGGCCAGCCTGAACTACATAATGAGATCCTCTCTCAAAAGAACTAAACCAAACCAAACCAAAAATGTCTGTTAGGAGAACCAACGCAGACTGAGGGAAATGTGCATACAGAGCCTTAGACAGTGCAGGGAGGTTATTGCAATGGTGACTACCATTTTAATTCTTTCTTTTTGGGTACTGGAGATTAAGCCCAAGACCTTAAGCATACCAGGTAAGTGCTCTACCACTGAGCTACACTCCCAGTGTTTAGTTTCAATATAGGTTCTCACTAAGTTGTCCAGCTGCCTTTGAACTTGGGATCCTTCTGCTTCAACTTCTTGAGTAGCTGGGATTCCAGGCTGTGCCACCATGCCTGGCTGGTTCCTGTATTCTAGTTATGTCACTGTGATGCCCTTACGGTGGTACCTCGGTTCACAAACTCCGTATTTTCCCTGATTCTAAACACAAACCAAGTTGGAAAAGAACCCAATCAAATGTCATGGTTAGGTCCAATGTTAACCTTATGGGGAAATTTGATTCAGTGATCATCCAGTTTGGTTTGCAACAAGAATTGTGGAGAGAATCGAGTATTTTTTTGGGGGGGGGACACGGTCTCGTTATGCAGCTCAGGCTGGCCTTGAGCTCACTTTGTAGTCCAGGGGAAAGGCCAGGGCTGTCCCGGTGGCGCTGGGCCCTACCTTGGCCAGGCTGATGATGGTGCCCTCCCGCTGGGTGTCCACCTGCAGCGCCCGCTCCGCCTCACGCTCGGCCCGCTCTTTACTCAGCTTCTGCTGTGTGGAGAACTCTGCCCACTCCACAGCCAGCCGCCGCCGTTCCTCCCCACACTTACGCATGACCGATTTCTGCTCCTCCAGCAAGGCGCTCTGGATTCAAGGGCAGGTGCATGGTGTGAGCCTCCCTGGGCTTCGTGGCATGGTCAGCGGTGGAGGGGAGTGCCAGACTCACCTTGGCCCTTTCCAGCTCTTCCCTCTCCATGGTGATCTGCTGCACCATCACCTTCCTCTGCTCCTCCAGGGCACGCTGCATGGACTCCGCCTTGGACTGCTCAGCATTCACTCGCCAGCGTTCCTGCAGGGCCCAGGGCAGGGCTGAGGGCCAGCTCCTGATGCTAGAGCAGGCCTGGCTGATCCTCAAGAAGCTGTGCAAACCTACCGATCTATCTTCTGTCTCCCATGCCTCCTTCCCTAAGAGGAGCAAAGTGGGGGGTGCCTGGGAGGCCCTGCCAGGGCCAAGCCCCTACCCTCAGGTCTCCAATTACACTATGGCTAAGGCAAAGAACAGCAACATCCCCACCCAAACCGCCAGCTCTGGGGCTCTGCTGCCTGTCGCCAGTTAAGCAGAGGAGCAGAGGAGTAGACTTATTGCCATGCTGGGGGTGCACGCAGGCATGAAGTAGGAAGTTCACTGCACCTGGCCTGAAGAGGTGCTTCACAGCGCCAGACAAGTGGTTGGTCATGATATAAAAGCATCTGTATCTAGGTTGGAATGACCACAGGATATCATCCATGGATATCTCTGCCTAATGGTAATTTTAATTTTCTTTATTATTTCCTATATTTTAACTTTTTTCAATGAAAGGTACTATTATAACAGTACGGAGAGAAGAAAACGTCACTCTTTTTTTTGTTTTTAAATAAGGCTTGCTCTTATGTATGAATGAGATGTATGAAGTTAAACATATGTCATAGCTGTGGTGGTTAAATGGCATTTAGTGGGCAAGAGCGTCCATCCTGATGCCACAGGCACCAGCTGCCATGACAGGTCAGGGAGAGGAGAAAGGGTAGTGCAGTTGATGGTGGGAAGACTATGCAGGGTGGTCCTGTGGCCAGGGACCACGGAGCAGGGGATGGGTGGCAGCCCCGTGTGCTCAGGTGGACAGTGCTGAGAGCCAGGCAGGGGCTGGAAGATGCAGAAGCGGGAAGGGACAGAAGGGACACTGACTGGATGGAGAGGCATGCAGAGAAGGACAGAGCCGGAGGTGTGCCTGGGGAAGGAGGCCTGCGAAGGAGCATGCTCACCTGCTCCAGGAGCCGGCTCTGCTCGTTCAGGCGTGCCTCCATCTTCCCGATGACCTCCTGGAGCCGGCCACGCTCCTCCTCCATGTCACGCTGCTGGCGGCCCAGCCGCTCCTGCAGGACTGGGGACAGCCACAGGACACTCAGCACCTTGCCCTCCTTCCCACTGAGGGGGCCCCAGTTACAGAGAGGGGCGTACCTCGCAGCTCCTCGTTTCGCTGCCGGATGCCCAACTCCCGCTCCTGCGAGGTGGTGAGCTGCGAGGCTTCCACGCGGGAGGCCAGCTCGTTCAGGCTGCTGGAGAACTTCTCCATCTGCTCGATGATGCCGTTAAGGGACCTGGAGGAGGATTGGGACACCTTGTCCTGGGGATATCCAGGCCTGGGCCCTTGGCTGGGCAGGGCTGGCTGGCACACATACCGTGTGTGGGAGGTGGCACTGGTGACGGCATCGATCTCTCGGTCCTTTAACAGCTTCAGCCGCTGCAGCTGCTCCTCATGGTCCTTGCGCATCTCCTGGATGGATGCCCTGATGGGAAGCGGAGGGGAAGGCCCAGCGCCACTCTGAACAAGGCCACATGGACAGATGGTGCAGAGAACACCATGGCAGCTCTTCATGCAAGGTGCAACCCTCCAAGTGGTCCCTGTATTTCCTCCTCCCCGTCCCGCCCCCAGCACTGCCTTAGTTTCCCGGCTCCCTTGCCTCATCTTTCTTGGTGTTTCAATACCGCACCTGCCAGGAAATTCCTCGTATTATTCGGCAAAGGGAACTTTTCACAGAAAACAAGAAAGCCCGCGTGTTGGGCATGATAGTGCACATCTGTAATCCCAGCACTTGGGAGGCTGAGGCAGGAGGATCACCAAGAGTTTGAGGGGAGCCTGGCCTCCATAGTGAGTTCAAGGCTAGCCTGAACTACATAGCAAGACCCTGTCTCAAAAAACAAAAACAAAAACACCCCCAAGAAACAAAAGAAAGTTGTGTGAATAACCTGTGTGTCTGGCCATTTGGGCAGTCTTAAAAGGCATGCTCTATCCACAGTGACTATGGGTATCTTTTGTTACTTTTGATCTCACCTAGAAAGCAACCAAACCAAAACACCAGCACAGCAGGCACACCTCTCCCAGGGAGAGCTAGTCGGTAGCCTCCACTGCATCAGCAGGAGAGTGGATTAACCTCTCTGGCTAGGCCCTTGGGTGCTTTCTCACTGATACCATGCTCTGACAAGATGGCTAGGGACCCCTTGAGCCTGGTGCATGCCACCTCCCGCCTCAGTAGAGGGGCAGTGGGTCAGTGTGGTCAGTTCCTGGTTCTCACCTCATGGGCCAAGGGAAGGGCTGGAGCCCTGTGCTCAGGTTGCAGACCTACAGCCTGGGTCTCATGGGCGCTGTTCTCCTCTGGCCAATCTTTGACGGCTGTTTCCCTACCCACCACAGCTGAGTCTGTTCTCACCGCTGCAGCTCCCGGAGCTTCTCCATCTCCTGGTCTTTCTCCTGCTCAGCTGCTGCCAACCGGCGCTGGTGCTGTGCTGCGAGCTCAGTGCGGGCTTGCTCAGCCTCACGGCAGTGGGACAGATACTGGGCTGACAGTTCCTCATTCTCTCTCCGGAGCCGCTCCTCTCGCTGCTGGTACGATGTCTCTAGCATCTTGATGCGGCTTCTGTTGAAAGCGCACCCCACTAAAGGGTCTCCTAGAGCACATTACTGTGGTCTTGTAGCTCAGGGGAAATCCAAGCCAGCCTTGGGGCAGGCCACGAGCAGGAGGAGGATGGGTACCTGTGCGCACTCTCAATGAGCTCCAGGTCTGCCTGGTGCCTCTGCTGCAAACTCTCCAGCAACATCCTGTGCTGAGCCCGCTCCAGCTCCAGCTTCCGCACCTGGGGGACAGCAGGAGATGCATGTAGCTCAGGCGCAGGGTCCCTCCACATCTATGCTTCCTGCTGCTTTGTGCCTCATCTTTCTTCCCACCTACTGAAGCTTCTACTTCACTTACCACTATCCCCAGCCTCCACTGCCAGGTGCCCTGAGGCCCTTACCTGGGCCTCCAGCTCTGCCAGTCGGGCCTGGCACTGCAGCAGTTCAGCCTGGAGTGGATCAGTGTTGCTCTGAAGCTGTGCCTGGGCTGCCAGCAATGGCTTCTGGTATCCTGTGCTTGGCAGCAGATTTTGTACCAGGGACTCTGAGACCAGGGACTATGGGGGAAGACAAAAGCCATTCCAGGGTAGGAGGTACCTGAGCTTGGCTACTTCCTGGCCCTCTCCTCATGGGACTGCCTGGCCTTACCCCTTATTTGTGGCTGCAGATGGGAGAGGACCAGAGCAACTGGGCACTCAGCAGCACCTCCACTTTTAGCTATGGTCATGAAAATGAGTGCTTCCCTACTCCACCCCACCAACATCCTCCCCAGCACGGCCTCCAGCTTTGGAGACAAGCAGCCGTCATGGTTATGACAAAAGACACTGGCCCTTCTGCCAGGTCTGAAGTCCACATGTTAAAACTAAGCTGGTTCCCTACACTGGCCTTCACCTAGCATCTCCCAGGGACATAATCCTGAGTGCCACTCTTCCAGGGCTCATGTCACAGGTGACAGAACTGGAGAGGCTGTGGCACGAGGGCAGGGATGGGGGAGGCTTTCTAGATGGACCAGCAGGACATCTGCAGCCTGGAGCATTCCCAGCTGCCCCTGCCTGGCTGCCACCTCCAAAACCCTGCTGCTGCCGGCGGGGTCACACCTATTCCGTCTAGAAGCCATGAGGCTAAAACTGCGGGAAGGCACAGGTGGGAGACACTAGAGCAGGCCGGCTGCTGTCACAGGGCATGTCTGACACACTCTTCCTCGCAGGCTCTCATGTCCAATTCTGGAGTTGCCTCTGAGCGTGGGAGAATTATTCCCTGGGGCCAAGCCCTACCCCATTTGTCCCCCTCCCTACCTGGACAGGCACAGGGAGCCCTGTGGGTTCTTGGGAGCTCAGGAAACAAGTTGCAGGCTCTGAAAAGTCAACAGCAGAGACACACAGAAATGAGTGGGAGGCCCAGGTGAGCCCCAGGTGCTGGGCCTACAATGGAAGCTCATCTTCCAGAGCCCTGTGATGTGAACTTTGGCTGCAAACTTGATTGGATTAAGGCGCACCTAGAGAATTAGTACTGCACACTGCTGGGTGTGGCTATGAGGGTGAGATGAGACGGTACTGACTGGGAAACCTGTCCTGAGTGTGGGTGGCACCATCCAGCAGGGTGGGGCACTGATGGGACAAAGTAGGGGAAAGCCCACTCACACTGGCACGGGCAGACTTGTCTCTCCTCTTTCTCTGCCTCCTGCCTGCCGTGAGTGAGCTGCTCTGCTTTAGCATGTGCTGCCCACCATGATGTATTCCCACCATGGAACGGAACCTCTGAGTCTGTGAGCCACACAGCCTTCCTTCCTCTAAGTTGTTTTTCCCAAGTGTTTGGTCACAGTGACGGAGAGCTGACCAATACAGGCCCCAAAGGAGCTCTCAGTACCTCTTCCTCACCCAGGCTTAAACCCCAAACAAAGCAGAGAACAAACCAGTGTAGAAAGGGTCTGCAGAAGCTGTTTTCCTCTTTAGATCACCTGCAGAGAGGGCCAAGGCGGCCTGGATGCAACTTGTGGGAGACCTGGGGACAAGGGGACAAGGCAGCAAGTTGAACAGCTCTCTGTGTAGAAAACGGAGAGAAGAGGAGCAGTCGCTCCAGGGGAAAGGGAAGTTTTGGGATTACGTAACTAGGCGGAAAGGCCCAGCGGTCAACAGTTTATTAGGAGTGCAGGAGCCAGCTGGTAAAGGAGACGGGGACACAGCCTCCAACAGCTCTGTCATCAATGGGCTTGGCAGAGATATCGAATGCTACAGAGCCAGTGGGCGGTCTGGCGTTGTCCACCTCTAGGGGCAGAGGCCTAAGCAGCCCCACCCCCACTTCTCTCGGCCCCGGGTGCAGACATACCCTGTAGTGTCAGGCCTGGTGGCCAGTGCTTCTCGTGCTGTTGCTCCTCCTAAGGTCCTCCCAGAAGCTGCCTGCTCAAGCCCCTGAATGCTGGCAACGGGCTGGCTGAGGACAGTCCATGTTAAAGGTCACAGGAGGCCCAGATTAGGCTGAAGATGGCCCTAGACAAGCTCACAGAATGGAGCTGCTGCGCCCTTTCCTCTCCGTTTCCCTCGGCCCTGCTGCGCCCACCATCACCTTGGGGAATTCTCCCAAGGCTGAGCTCCCAGGGCCTCTGGCCACCGTTCCCTTGCAGGACCTACTCCCACCTCACTGTCCTCTGTGACTGGACACTGTCCAACAGCGACAACAGGCATGTCACACACAGAGGAGTTCAAGTCCAAAGGCCTGTCTGGGTCCACTTAGCTTCATTAGGTCTCACACTGCTGCTGTCTTCAACGCCCCCCCCCTCCCCCGCCCGGGGCAACCACCTTGGAGCTACGTTCTCTTCCGTAATTCCCACCCCTCTTTGCCGAGTCTTTTCTGTTTGGGTCTCAGTTTTTTCCTTGGCTGTAGGTCAAACTCAACCTCCCGCCACACCAACCCCAGGACATGGTGATGTCCCCGGGGTCATAAAATCACCGTATCTGGAGCTGGGGATTTAGCTCAGCGGCACAGCGCCTGCCTGGCAAGCGCAAGGTTGTGAGTTCGATTTTCGGTACCGGAAAAAAAACCGAAAACCAAAAAAAAAACCACCGTATCTCCTCCCTTCAGCTAACTGGCGCACTACACTACTTCCTCTGGACCCTCAGCTTTGCTGATCCCTTTAGCTGGCCCCTTTCGCCTGTGTTCTTGGCCTCAGAGGTCTCTCACGATCCTGACCCACTGGACCGCTATTCTGTGGCTCCCAGGAGCTGCCTCTCGAACACCGCATCTTCTCAAACATCCCCAGGAGCACATGGGAATCTCAGCTCCTACATACTTCAGTCACTCTAGCTTGGATCAGCAGAAACACCAGCAGTGTGCATACTGGCTTTCGCTGCCAGCCTGCAGGCTCTGAGGGCTGGGCCCCAGCTCAAAAGCAGCGGACAGCACAGCCGACCACCTCAGCGCACCCTCTGTCTTCTCGTGCCTGCTTGCACCTGGGCCTAACCAGCAGCTCTCTCCGCTGTGCCCAGGAGGAAGGGAAGCAAAGCTCATGGTCCCTGCCAGTTCTCCCCATTAGACACAGCCTAAGGCCATACCTGCCAGAAGGGGCAGAGCTTGCTGTGCCCACCGGGTTCAGGGCCTTGCAGGCTCCAGTGCGCTCTTCTCTGGCCAGACCCTGGGACTTCTTCTGAGATAAGACGTGGCTCAGCCAGTCCTCCTCCTCTTTCTCTGTGGATGCTCCCAGCTTGGAAGCATGGCTGGATTTGACAGGGGACATGGCATCCTCAGCTGGTAGCTTTGCCCCTGAGGAGGGCGGCCCAGGAGGGGTAGAATGCAGGCCTGAGGCCGAGTGCTGGCTCCCAGGAGGGGGAATGGAGGGTGGAGATATCGCTGAGTCTCCTCCTCGGGCCTCTTGGGTGGGAGAGGGAGGGAGCAGGTCCAAGTCTTCATCCTTGAGGCCCAACCAGTCAGCTCCTCCCTTTCTGGGGTGGATGGGGCTAGAGGCTGCTGGAGGGCTCCATTTGGAGCCCAGCTCTCCCTTGGGGTCTGGGCCACCTTCTGCTAAGAATCTGCTTCAAGACAAAGAGAAAGGTGTCAAGGCAGGGGAGGCAGCTGTCCCAATAGCCCCCTGCCAGCCTTTCCCTCTATGCTGCAGGGACTATGAGGCCCACAGGCAGGAGTTCAGATGCCCACAGCCAGTGGCCCCCAGACCAGGTCAGGAGGAAGGGCAGTGGCAGGTGGTTTGCTATCTATAAAACACCAAGAAATATGGACATTTTGATGTGTGTCACACAAACCAGGGGCAATTCTGCCCACAGACAGAAAACAGGGTCAAATTACAACCACAGGGACATCGGTCCAGAGCCCATCAGTTAGAGCACGTGGTGCTCAGGTTTCCCACAGTGCCTGCTTTGTTACCAGCTCATTTATACAGTCCCTTCCTACAGATGTTGTCAACCAGTGGCTGGAGGTTCCTAGGTTTAGGTTCTGGAATCGAGGGGCAGAGGATGTTGCTCAGTGGTGCAGCATACGCTTGGCAGCCAAGAGGCCTTGGTTTCAATCTAGCACCAATTAAAAAAAAAAGTTCTAGAAATAATATCAATGTGGAATCAAAGTATTTAGATGGAAAGAGGCCATCACAGCTAATGTGCTCAGTGCCGACCACTGCCGATCCTAGGTGAAGGGGATTGTTCTTTGTATGTTCTCACAACTTTTCCCTGAGCCGAGCATGGTGGCGCACACCTGTAATCCCAGCACTTGGGAGGCTGAGGCAGGAGGATTGCTGCGTTCAACGCCAGGCTGTGAGTTCAAGGCCACACCGTGAGTTCAAGACCAGCCTGGACTATACAGTGAGACCCTGTCTCAAACAAGTAAAAACAAAAACAGCCAGGTATGGTGGCACATGCCTGTAATCCCAGCACATGGGAGGTTGAGGTAGAAGAATCGCCACAAGTTTGAGGTCAGCCTCAGCTACATAGTGAGTACAAGATCAGCCTGAACTGCATAGTTAAAACAGAACAAAAAAACCAAATAAACAGTAAAAACAAACAACTTTTCCCTAGGCTTGAATCACCTCAAGACACAGTTCAAACTATATGCAGGGAAAAAAACTCCAAATTCACAAAATTTCATCATTGACTTAATTTTGTTGCAATCTGGGAGGAGCACTGGGTCAGGACGGCACAAGCAGGTTCACCACCGTGTCATAGGGAACAAATGAAGTTGCCACTGCCCCAGCTTCATGGGCTCACTAACCCCTGGGCTGTGTTCCTCAGGGAGACCAAGTGACAGCACAGCCTTTAAGGCTTTCAGCAGGCTTACAGCAAAGGAGGCCATCTTGTCTTTCACCCCAGAGCACTCCCCAGTGGGGACTTGGGGCTGCAAGCAGGGGCAGAGTCTGGGATCAGGGTCCTGAGGGCGCTGTTCCCACCCACCGCCTGGACTCCTGGGGAGCCTCCCTCTTCCACAGGGCTCAGAGCCTAGTGCCTTGAGTCCCACGCAAGGCTGTCAGGTGGGACGGGGCAGCCTGTGGGGACCTGTCTTCCCAATGGCCAGCTTGTCCCAGAGCCCACCTCCCAGTAGGCCCCGATCACCTGACAGACTGTCGGCGGGACTGCCGGCCCTCGGAGGAGCCCAAGGTGGGCTGGTAGGCCCCAAAGGTGAGGATTTCGTCGTCCCAAGTGTCTTCTTTGTCTGAAAATTAAGGAGCCTGTGACTGTGTTCTGGAATCTAGCACAAGGGAAGCCAAACTTTTCATTTTTTGGCAGTGCTGGGGATGGAACCAAGGGCCTGACACATGCTAGGCAAGTGTTCTTCCACTGAGTGGATCCCCAACCCTGGGAACCCAACTCTTCCCCGTGTAGGATTCTGTCTAGAAATGCTGAACCAGCAGCTGACATGTAAGATAAACTGAGGCAGGGTTGCCCTAGAGGAAGCACTGTGGTTACACAGGACCAGCCGGGAGCTGTGAAAGCATACTGGCCAGGGCTTGCCCCCCTTTCTTTAAGGTCAAGCCCAGCGGGCTATGTGTGTCACAGAATGAATCTTAGCAGATGGCTAGTGGAGCAATGCTTTGAGAAACACTGGTCCCCAGGAGTGTTTTCAAACTGCAAGCTGCTGTCTCTCAGAGGGTCAAGAAACTACTCTGAGCTGGGCATGGGGAAGCACGCCTGTAATCTCAGGACTTTACGTGGCTGAGGAGGAAACCTGAAAGTCTGAGCCCAGTTTGGGCAACTTAGCAATTTATCTAGATCCTGTGTCAAAATACAAAATAAAAAAAAGGGCTGGAGATGTCTTCTTAATGTAAAGGCTCCGGGTTCAATCCTCAGTACTGGGAAAATAAAATAAAATTACTTGGCAAGTGATGACAAGTGTATTCATACATCAAATGCAACTGCGTGCCAGGTGGGGTGAGGGTATGAGATCTCACAGCACCTCTGTCGAAGTTACAAACGTGTTTAGTAACGTGCACCATGACATGAAGTCATTTCTTGTCACCTGCTGTGGTAGAAACCTTGGCTAGAGTCCCCTGCCCCTGCCCTCCTGTCCTGGCCCACAATTTCCCCGAGGCTTTCTCACCCTGTGACCTCTGGCACTTCTTGTCCACCTTGAACTCCCTGTGTTCCCCAGCTCCTGGGCGAGCCAGGAGTTTGGTGGCTGTGCCTCGACCCAGAAGCTCATCCAGCTTGGAGCGAGCAGGCCGGGGCCCTTCCCTGCAGGACAGGAGGCGGGGAAGGAGTGTGCGACTACACGGGGCTCCCCGCAGCCCCTGCTGTCCCCACCCTTGATTTTTTCTCTGGACCTGAGGCGGCAGCCTGGCCAGAGACTCCTCACCCACGCGGGTCCTTACTGGTCTCCCGTCCGCCTCCTCTCCGCCGTGGGGCTGTCTCCAAACCCCAGGGTGGCCATGATGTCATCCCCATCATCGAACAGCAATTCCTCTTTCTTTCGGACAGGGGTGTCCCCAGGAGTGAGAGGAACAGAAGGACCTAAAAGGCAGAACCAAGGCCCTATGCCCATGGCCTTCTTGCCTCCACTGTGACGAAATGGGCTGGGGTAGGGTCTCTCTACAACCCGGAGCTTCCAGAGGGGTAGTGGGAAAGGGTCTGCCCATGGGACTGGAGGCCCCCACCCTACTCCTAAGCCCATGCACCCACCTCTCTGCTCCCAGAGACTGATAATCTCTGGTCCTGGACCTGAGACCTGTGGTCTTGCCCGGTGGAAGGCTCTGGCCAGTGAGCTTGTATGCTGTCCAGAGTCCCTCCCAGGACGAGGAGCAAGTCCCCCTACCCTACCTGGGTCTCTGACTGTGCTGAGGTTCTTATCGGAGGCCGTTTTACTCTCTGTCACTGGTGGCTTCTTTGCAATTCCTTCCTCATCATCAGAGAGAAGTCTTGCTAATGGGTCTTCCAAGTCTCACCGCCAAAAAGGAAAGGAAAAGTCAGACTGTGGAACTTTGGTCAGGAAAAAAGGCCCAAGGTCGTGGTAGCTATCACTCGAGCATAAATGAGCTCCTCAGCACGTGCAGGGCAGGGCTTGGGGGGTGGGCCTGGGACACAGAGCTGAGGCTGGGCATGGGGAGAGAGAGCTGGGTGAACCCAAGGGCCCTCTGACTCTGTTGGCTCCGTGGGCTCCTGGAAACATTCCTGAGGTGTCAGAAGCGAAGGAAAACTTGTGCATTGTGAAGGGAAAGGGACCTCTCCTATGCTTTAGGTTCCCCAATATAGCACAACTTTGCAGAATTCATGAGGAACTAAACTGAGGCAGAAGCTCTCTCCCTCCTCTGACACATACAGTAACCTGGCCTCAGACAGGCAGGAAAGGACTACAAAGGCTACCGTCAAACCAGAGTATCTCCATTTGAGCCCAGCCTGAGCAACTTAGTGACTTAGCAAGACTCTGTCTCAAAATAAAAGGGCTGAGGATGCAGCTCAGTGAAAAGCCCCTTGGTTCAATCCCTAGTACCACAAACAAACAAACGTCCCAGACGCAGGACTGCGGAGTCTCCAGTACCTTCAAAAGAAAACCTCCTGTACTGATGCCCAAAACTGCTGGGAGAGGGAGATGGCTTTCTGGTGGGACTGGTGTCCCCTGCAGGAAGAACAGAGACAGCAACGTAGGCCTGGGTCTTTCCTAGTCTAAGCTCCTTCTCTATACCTTGGACCGGGGCCCCTGGGATGGTGAGGACTTCATTCTAGAAAGCTAAGACTCAAGGCTGAGGGCACAGCCATGGAGGGTCCCCACACACCAGTTCTCACCCATGCTCCGACAGGGAAATGTGGCAGGAAGTTACACCTGCCCCCTTGTCATGAATCACCCCAAACAAGCATTGGGTTTGAGAGACGAACAGGCTACCATCACGTTTCCCTTTTTAAAAATTATTATTGTTGCTATGCTCTAGAGCTTCATGCATTCTAGGTGAGTACTCTACTCCTGAGCTACAACCCCACCAGCCCAAATTTCCATTTTAATTCAAAAAGCTCCTCCAGGAGCTGCCCACAGTGGACTAAGAATGAAGGAACAGCCCGGCTTCTGTACTATAAACACACACACACGTATGTGCGTGCACATATACAGGCACAATAGGCTCCTTGGTCTGTCCTTTCCAAGAAAACCCACAAGACATGAGAGCATCTTTTCTTTCTGAGCAGCTTCGACCATCCCAAAGCCTCCCTCAGGGACGCAGGGAGCTGTCTCCACTCACCTTTTTTTTTTTTTTTTTTTTTTTTTGGTCTTTTGAGACAAGGTCTCGCTATGCAGTTCAGGCTGGCCTTGAGCTCACTTTGTAGCCCAGGCTGGTCTTGAACTTGCAATGATCCTCCTGCCTCAGCCTCCCCAGTGTTGGGATTACAGGCATGCACCACCATGCCCGGCATCCACTCACCTTTCTCATCGGCTGTTAACTTGCCAGCAGGTTTGGGGTCACAAGGCAGCTCTTCTTTCCCAGAACCCTTTGCCGCTCTTTTGTCAGAGGCTGGAGACTTCTTCAGCCCCAGGAGGTCGGCATCCATGTCGTCCAGATCCTAGAACAGCAGGAAGGAGGAGCATGATGTCTTGGCAGGCCTTGAGGGTCCCCCACTGTCCCATATGAAAAGGCTTGGCCGCGGGGTGGTACTCGGAGGTGGGATGTGTGGGGCCTTAGTTCCTTGAGGACCTGCCTTTGAAAGGAGCTCTGTGACTGCATCTATCCCCTTTCTCTGCTTTGGTTCAAGATGTAACCATCTGCTTCTCTGTTTCTTTTTTCTTTTTTTTTCCACCTGCTTCTCTATATGCTTCTGTCATGATGTGCCACTGTCTGCCACCCACCCGAAGGGAGGCCGGGGTCAGACTGTGGCTCCATCCGCCACCTTCCCAGAGACCAAACCAGTCACCACCCCAGCCTCATCTTGGACCTTCAACCTCTAAAACTGTGAGCTCAATAAACATCCTCTCCTGACGTGTCAGCTGCCTCTGCTGTCTCACTGTGGTATTGCGAAGATGACTCTACAGAAGGGAAGAGGACTTCCAGCTGCTACAGACACCCAGAGGCAGAAACGTGAGAGAACAAAGGAAACTGAGAAAAATGGTAAGTTGGGAATGAAAACGGAACCAAGGGTAAACAGAGTGGGGCGGGAGTCCGATGAGGTGGCAAACGCCTGTAATCCCAGCTCTCGGGAGGCAGAGGCAGGAGGGTCACTGCGAGAGTGAGGCCGGCCTCAGCTCTGCTCATTATTCTGGAATGAGAGACTCAAAACTGGCCCCCCAAATTGAGTCAGGGCAATTGTGGGTCGTGCATGCCTGAGGTCGTGGCTGGTAGCCTTAGGGAGAAAGATTTCAGACTGAGGTTAAAGAAGCTAAATCTACAGTTAGGAAGAGAAGGAAACTTATTCTGTCCCCTCAGGTGGTGGCAGGGGTAGAGGGGGCCCAACCAGGTGATTCATTAGGAGGGGACTGGCCCCATTTCACCAGAGAACCGTGGCACACACTTTCTATCTCCAGATAGCAGGAAAAAAGATTTACACCCACAGCGGGTAGAAGGGAAACAATTCAGGGTGAGCTCTGTGCTTGTACTAGGAAGAGCTCAGAAACCCAAGTTATAAAGCAAGAATTACAGGAAGATGAAGTCTTGATACAAAATATTAACAGTTCACCCAGCCCCAGCCCTGAGGACTGTAAAGTTCTTTCCCTACCTTTATGGCCTGTAGCAAGGCCTGTGGGTCTGGATCTGAGATGTCAGAAACCTAAGTCCACAGGAGGTGAGGACACAAATGAGAGAGACGACAGGCACATTAGTCTAGGCCCAACACCACTCAGGGCTCCAGTCCCTTGTCACCTTGCTTCTGTAGGAGCACATGGCCTGCAGGGGTAAAGCTCAGCCAACAGGCCATAAACAGGAATTACCCCTACCCCAGTCCCAGGGCTTATCTGTTGTATAAAGTCAAATCCACCTAGCTGTGGAGACCCAGAAAGCTCTATCACTTCCTGTCCCTCCCAACTGTAGAGACAACTTTCATCACAGAATCCAGGTTAGGCTACTTCCCAATCACGTGAGCAGATGGTGTGGAGTTTCTCATGGGAAGGGACAATATCCAAACCCCAAAGTCTCATGCACTCTACTGTTTAGTTCATCACTCTGGGGAAAAGGAGACAGATACTGCTTTGAATACATGGCATCTCTCGGGTATTGCTCTGCTTTAAGAACAAAGTGACGCTGCAGACTTCTAAACAAGCTGTGAGCAGCTTGTTGGCCACCACACCAATCCTGCTTTTCCTGGGGTTAAGCCCAACAGCTGAGAATTGGGAAATGAGTTGGTCTCACCTCAGCATCAGCTCCTGCCACGCCTCCCAGAGTGTCAAAGTCTTCATCTTCCCGGAAGGACCTGTAAAGTGGTACAACAGGGACCAACACTTATGCTGAGGGCACTAGATGGCCCTAAAAAATGAAGACTGAGGGGCTAGGGGTGTAGCTCAGTGGCAGAGCATGTATTTAGCATGTGGGAGGTCCTGCGTTCCATCTCAGCACCACCACCATCAAAAAATAGTGGCACATGTTGCTGGACACAGGTGCAAGTATCCCGGTCCTTCTTTTCAATCCTGGCCTTCCTTCCAGCTGTCACACCTTAGTGTGACACTGGTGAGGGAGTCACTGGTGAGGAGTGCTATTTTTGACAACCCTTAGGCTGCAACTATTTGTTAGATCCTTCTTGCGTATCTCTGTCTTCCTGAGAAACCACTTTGAAGATACCACCATGTACTACAGCAGCCGTTGATATTTTCCTACTAATCTATAACTCTGTAATGTTTGTATTGTTCCTATCCTATTTTGTAAATGGATGTATGTTTATTATGATGTGTTTCCTACAACCATTGAGAATAGTTAATGAATATTCAATTGGTCACTCATGTATAGCTCTATTTATTTTCTTTAGAAGCCACTCTGAAGATACCAAAGTATAGTACAACTACTGATAACCTCTTACCTCTTTTTCTGTAACTCACTATTATTTGTCTATTTACTTTCCTGAGAAGCTATCTTGCAGATAACGATATGTAAAACAATAACCATTGATAATTTCCTACCACTTTGTCTGGAATTTGGTAAGCCCCCCCCCCATTATTATGTTATCCTTCTTTTACTCTTTAAAATTAAAAAAAAAAAAATAGTGGCACAACTGGGCATAGTGGCACAGGCCTATAATCCCAGCACTCAGGAGGCTGAGGCAGGAGGATCGTTGGCAAGTTCGAGACCAGCCTGGGATACAAAGTGAGCTTAAGGCCAGCCTAAACTGCAGAGCGAGACCCTGTCTCAAAAAGACAAAAGAAAAAAAAAAGTTGCTTAAAGGGTTGAAAGGAACTTGGAGGTACTTCTTCAGGAAGACAGATATGCTAAAAAGAATTTCATGGGCTGCCTAGTACACTGATCTTGTACTTTTATAAAGCAGTAGCATTCTAGCAATATGGGAGGTCAAGGCAGCAGGATCACAAGTTTGAGTCCCACCTGAGCAATTTAGTGAGACCTCTCAGAAGAAAGAGAGACACAGAAAGAGAGAAAGAGATGTACTTCAGTGTGAAGATCCTAGATTCAACCCCAGTACTGCACAATAAGTAAATTTTAGCAAGACACGGTGGCACATGCCTATATTCCTAGCTTTGAGTCTACATGGCATCCCCTGGGTACTGCTTTGCTTTAAAAACAAACTGACTTTGCAGACTAAGTCAGGAGGATTTCAAATCTAAGGCCAGCCTAGACTACACTGTAAGACCCTGTCTCCAAACATCAATCAAGCAAGCTAGGCATAGTGGTGCAAGCCTGTAGTCCCAGCACTCAGGAGGCTGAGGCATGAGGATTGCTGTGAGTTTGAGGCCAGCATGGGCTGCATAAACTAGTTTAAGGCCAGCCTGCATTACATAGCAAGACCCTGTCTCAAAACAAACAAACAAAATCAATCATCAATCAATCACTGTTAAAAGGTAAGAAAGAGAATTAATGCTCTAGCTAAAATGAAGGTGAAACATCACAAAGCTCCTCCCTTATCATCTAATGTAGGGAGAACAAACAATTTGAAAATTACTGATCTGGACCAGTTCCCTTATTCTGTTTTTATGTGTGTGTGTGGGAGGGTGTCGAGACAGGGTCTTTCTATATAGTGCAGCTAGCCTCAAACTCCCTATGCAGTCCAGGCTACAATGATCCTCCTGCCTCAACTTCCTGAGTGCCAGAATTACAGGCATGCACCACTCAGTTCCCTTACTCTAAAGATGAGGAAACTGAATTGCCCAAGTAAGAGATGCAGGACTAGATACCAGGTCTTCTGCCCTCCAAGTCAGTTCTCCTTCCATCCTCCCAGGGCCCTTCAATAACTGGAAGAGGAGGGGAGGTGCAGAAATTGCTAACATTCCCAGTAGGTACATACCAAGTGGGAAGTGGAGCAGAGGGGAAATGGACTTGGATCCCCAGGGCAACCAGTGTTTACCTTCCTCTAGCCTTTGAAGAGTCGAGCTTCTGAGGTACATTTGTGGCATCTCTATTGTAAGGAACTGGTTCAGTAGGCTTCTCCGGGAGTATCACTGGAACAAGGGAAACCAAAGGTGTCACTTAACTCCAGACAACCACAGTAGAGATGCAAAGGATATTGAGTCCCCCACCTAGCGTCCCCCTCACCTTCCAAGGACAAAAAGGCAGCTCCCGACGTTCTCCCCTGAAAAGCTGGGATGAGCATTGCCAGGAAGGAAGTCAACCCCAGATGCCAATGAATGCCAAAGAACTCAGTCCAACCCAACCACACCCAGGGGAAGGTGGGTTGGAACCCATGAGCCTATGCTCTGTGGGTTCTTCCTGTCATGTGGAAGAAACCTAAGCCTTGCTGTCCCTGGAGAGCTTGGCCTGACCCTGCAGCCATGCTCCTCAGTACAGCACCATGGACACAAAGGACAGGGGCCAGTAGCCACAATAAATAAGGAACTCTTACAACTCAGTAGTAAAATGTCAAACAGCTCAGTTAAAATGGGCAAAAGATCTGAGTAAATATTTCTCCAAAGCTACACAAGCAGAGCTGGGCATGGTAGTACATGCCTATAATCTTAATATTCGGGGAGTCTGAGGTATGAAGATTGTGATACCATGTAGGCAAAATATTATTCCCAAACTGTTGTCAAATGTGCCCAGGTCGTGATCTTACAACATCGAGGAATGAAGTTGTAAACCAAAGGATGAAGTTAGGAGTTTTTTATTGGAAAAAAGGAGAGAACAGTTTTTGGATTTCCAGGAGAGGTCCTGAAAGGCGTGGCCACTGAGACCCTTTGTCAGGGGTAACTTATACAGCAGTCACAACACAGGTATAATGTGGGTCAAGCTACAACCAACCTACAGGATTACAAGTATAGCCACTTAGCTAACATTGATCCAATAGGGAAATGAATTATGCAGCGAGGGAACATGGAAAGAACAGACATTTTTAGGAAGGGATGGGTCCAGATGCTCTGGTCACCTGCCTGGGCATCTGATACTATTGGACTTACTGGACCATGTGGTGGTATCACAGTATAATCTCAAGTTGCTGTTTATCTCCATGGAGACACGCAGGCCTGCCTGTTGCTTTTTTGTCCTGAGACCTGGCTCTCTTCTGATTTGTCTCTTGCTATAATTTTGAGGTCTTTATTTTTTGTGCTGACTTCCTCAGAGGTCTAGTCCCTCTCTGAGACTGTATATTAACTTCTATCTAATTTAGCTGCCTATAAAAATTACAAGTTTGAGTCCACCTAGGCAACTGAGTAAGACCCTGGTTCAGAACAAAAAGGCATGTATACTGTATATACACCAATGAATATATGAAAAGATGTTCAATCTCACCAGTCATTAGAGAAATGCACAACAAATGAGACACATGCATAAGGATGGGCATAACCAAAGAGATGGAAAGGAAGTATTAGCAAGGATGTGGAGAAAGCAGAACATCTTACATTGCTAGTGGGGACGTAAAAGAATATAGTTGCTGTGAAGAACTATTTGGAGGTTTCTCAAAAAAGTTAAAGTGAGTTACTGTATGGTCCAGAAATTCTATGTCTATCTGATATCCAAAAGATCTGAAAACATGTCCACACAAAAGCCTGTACACAAATTTTCCTAATAGTATTACTCACAATAGCCAAAATATGGAGATAATTCAAATGTCCATCATTCAATGAACAAAAAAAAAAATGTGACGCTGGGCATGGTGGCGCATGCCTGTAATTCCAGCACTCAGGAGGCTGAGGCAGGAGGATCGTTGCACGTTTGAGGCCAGCCTGGACTGCAAAGTGAGCTCAAGGCCAGCCTGAACTGCATAGCAAGACCTTGTCTCAAAAAGACAATAAATAAATAAATAAAATAAAATAAAATTAAAATGTGGCATGGCCACACAACAGGCCATTACTTAGCCATAAAAAGGAATGAGGTATTAGAGTATCAATGAACTTTGACAACATTATGCTACATGAAAGAAGCTAGATGGAAAGCCCAGATTCTGTATGATTCCATCTTACATAAAACGCCCAGAATAGGCCATTCCATAACAGAGGAAATAAATGGTTGCCTAAGATTAGGGGTTAGGGAAAGGTAAAGACTAACATGTGTAGAGCTTACAGTGTGATAAAAATGCTTTGGAATTAAGATGTGATCACTTAATGACAGACAACCACAGTAGAGATGCACAGGATAGCGTTTAAGTATTCTAAATTTTACTGAATTGCACACTTTATTTTATTCTCTTGAGATAGGGTCTCGACTGTAGTTCAGGCTGGTCTTGGACTCATTACGTAGTCCAGGCTTGCCTCAAATTCACGGCAATCCTCTTGCCTCAGCCTCCCAAGTAAATTGCACACTTTAAAAGAGCAAATGTTATGACATGTGAATTTGTTTTTTCTTTTTTTTTTTTTTTTTTGTTTTTTTTTTGGTTTTTCTCCCGTACCGGGAACCGAACTCACGACCTTGCGCTTGCCAGGCAGGCGCTTTGCCACTGAGCTAAATTCCCAGCCCCTTGTTTTTTCTTTCTGTCTTTTTGAGACAGGATTTCACTGTGCAGTTCAAACTGGCCTTGACTTTGTAGCCCAAGCTGGCCTAGAACTTGCAGCAATCCTCTTGTGTTAAGTCATCTGAGTGCTGGGATTAAAGGTGTGCACTACCATGCCTGGCTTAATTTTTTAAAATTTTTTTGCATTTTGGATTTGAGTTGGCCTTGAATTCATTACATAGCACTGGCTGGCATCTAACTTGTAACCCTATTTCAACCTCCTGGGTGCTAGGATTTCAGGCCTGTGCCACCATGCCCAACTGACATGTGAATTACATCTCAATTATCTGATGGTGGTGGTACTGGGGAACGAACCCAGGGCCTCTGCTCTGAGATACATCCCCAAGCTTTTTTAAAATTTTGAAGCCAGGAATGATGTCGTATGCCTGCAATCCCAGCACTCAGGAGGTTGAGGCAGGAGGATCATTGTGAGTTTGAGGCCAGCCTGGTCCACAAAGTGAGCTCAGGGCCAGCCTGAACTGCATAGTGAGACCCTGTCTCAAAACAACTAAAAAGAAATTTTGAGACAAGACCTCACTAAATTGCCCAGGTTGGGGTAGCACTTGTGATCTTCTTGCCAGAGTTCTGGGATTACAAATGTTCACCACACCTATCTTTTTAAAAAAAATTAATTAATTAATTATTTTTAAAAAAGAATAGGTCTAGATCAGGGGATTTTGGGGGAGAAGCACTTACAGTCATCACCCAGGAGGTCACCAAGGACATCATCAATGGAGCCTGGAACAGAAAGGGCCATCACAACTTCAGGAAGAAAGCAGCACTTATATAGCTCAAGTCTTGAGACACCCCGAGGGCTGCAGAGCTCAAAGATGTTAAGCCTTAGGCTCAGCTCTGCCTTCACAGGCTAGGAGATGTTTTCTAACTCTCTGGCAGTGAGTGACAATGCCCTGTTGAAACATCTAAGGTAGAAAGGTAAAGCAATGTTTCCAACAGATAATAGCAAAGATTTTCCTTTCTATCTGCCTCCCTAATAATACACTAGCCAGCAACCAGTTTTCCAGACCCTGAAAGAGCCTAGTGTAATTCTTTAAAAAAAAAGTGTCCAAGCCAGATGTGGTGGTGCATGCCTATAATCGCAGCACTTGGGAGGCTGAGGCAGGAGGATCACTGCAAGTTTGAGGCCAGCCTGAGCTACACACTGAACTCAAGGCCAGCCTGAACTATATAGTGAGACTCTATCACGAAACAACAACAAGAATGAAAAAGTGACCAAGATTCTAGGCTTTCATGCTGAAGCTTTCTTGTACCCATCTGAGACCTAACGAATTGCACTGGATGGACCCCTCACTGGCCACCTTGGGGGAAACTAAATACAAATATGGATGGTTCTCTCATTCAGCTAGGAACCTTTACCAAGCTTAACCACAATCATATACTTCCAGATACAGAACCCAATAAGACTTTTTCCTTTTTTTCTTTGGCACTGGGAATCGAACTCAGGACCTTGTGCTTGCTGGGCAAGAGCTTGTGCCACTGAGCTATATTTCCAGCCCAAAGAAAGACTTTTCTAAAACTCCATTTTTTATTTACTTTTGAATTTTTCTGAGGAGCTTATAAAAGGCCCCTCAGATGACCAAGGGTCCCTAAAGATTTATGAGATAAAAGCAAGCCTTTCAACAAGAACTTTTTTTTTGAGGTGCTGGGAATGGAATCTAGTTCTCAAAGCCAAGTGTTCTACCATGAGCCTACGGTCCCAGCTTCTCCCGAGAAACACTTAAAACACATTGTATCTAAATTATTTTGGAACCAAAGGGGGAAAAGACATATATTTGGCTTAAGGGTAGGTAGTGTTTCATTTCTCCACTCACCTTTCAAACCTTTCTTGGTTTTTGGTGCCTAAAATGGGAAAAACAAATCACATTAACAAAGTCAAATGGTGAACATGTACTGAAATGGGAAATAGAGAATGAATTGTGTTGTCTCTTGCCAGGTTACCACAGGAAGGAGCAGCAATGACATTTAGAGACAGCAGTCCTTTATGCTTTCCTAGTTTCCAAATGGAGTTATTCAGACTATGGAAACAGCCCCCACTAACCAGCAGTGGTACAATGGGCAGACGTAAGTCTCTCTTCCCCAATTTTCAGATGTCACCTGCAAACCCTCCCAGCTAGGATATAAAGTGACTAGAAATGTTTCCATCTATTCCGTGTACCTCAATCCTCAAAACACTCCCAGCAGGACATTCGGAGGCAGAGAAGAAAGCCCGCCTACTGCTTAACTTGGACATCAAAGCTACTTCCCATCACTCTTCTCTGGGGACCACATCCTGGTCCTTGTCATCCAGTCCCCACAGTATTCCATGCAGTCAAGATCTTTGGGGCCCAGGGGTAGGGTGAAGGGTGGTGTTTACATTTCCGCAAGTTTCACTCTGCATTCTGCCTACCATCTGAGGGTGCTGGGTGCTGCACGCATCTCCTTCACAGCACTGTCCAGATCACACAAATTTCGGCCACAGCAGGCGCACCTTCCCTAATGAAGAGAATAGGAAGGACCAGGAGATGGGGGGAATGGGGAGGGAGAAGGGGAGAGGGCAGCTTAACAGTGCTCTACTCCCAGGGTTATAGAGGTTCCTCTCACTTTACCCATTTGAAGAAGTCAAAACTTATTTACATAAATTAAAAATTCCATAGAGGGGAGAGATTCTGATGAGAAGCCAAGGCTCTAGATAATTTAACTGACTTCCTCAGGCTTCTCCAGGACTTGAAATGCAGTGGCTGGCATTCCCTCCCCTGAAAGCATATGGGAAGGGGCAGGGACCCATTTCAGAAAGATGGTGGGTACCTGGCGCTGTGGCCAAAACCCTTCCCAGGCAGCACTCATGACTACTTTCTGGGCAGCATGCAGTACAGGGAGTGGGGATGACCTCTGCTTACTCCTTGACACAATCTCCACTGATGGAAAATTTTCCCTTCACAATAGCCGTGAACCGGGCTTAGCCCACTTAGAATAGTATTCCTCAAAACTAGCTCTCTCCTTCCTCCTCCTCCACCTTACCAAAACCCACCTTCGGCGAGCCTTGGAAGAACGGAGCCAGAGGCGGTCATCATCCGTCTCCAAGGTGCTGACCTGTCCTGTTATTAGAATGCAAGGTTTATCAGGGGTTACGGACGGAGGCCCCTCAGAACGCTTGTGTTTCTCTTTCTCTGCAACGGCAACTTCGGCGACCTACCAGTTCACATGGGTTTTGGCTCAATATACATCGAGGAACTTCTGCCACCTATCCATCATGTTCCAGACTCCCACACGGTGGGGATTTTCTAGCAGCGGTTAGTAAAGCCCATAGGACCCCAGGGTATGACGCGTCATCCCATCTACTCACCCCACTACATGCGAGTCTTTTTTTGAATCCCGAGCCCGCCCCTATGCCACAGTCCTTCCCATAACCCCCGGTCCGTTCCGAGACTGCGCCCCTCAATGTATCGCGCCCCGTGCGTCTAGCTATTTGGCTCGCAGCGCAGGCTGTGGGCCCTCCAGCCCCTCCAACCTCCTTTATGTGCCGTCCCCCCGGAGGCGCGGCGGTGAGACGCCCACTTCCACTTCGCCGTCGCGGCCTCTTGGGATGGTGGCGCGATGTATCCTGGGAGCTGTAGTCCACGGCACGCTCACCGCTAGTCGGAAGTTTGAGGGGAGCGGATGGGGAAGCCACAGTGCCCGGCGTGCACCGCGGTGGCCGCTCACCCGGCGAGGTCTCTGCAGCGCCCAGCGCGTTGCTAGGAGCTGCCTCAAAGTCGCTCTGGGTTACACAGGTTGCACACAGCAGGGTGGGAGCGTAGAGTTCCTTCTGCGCCCTTCTGAGGCAATTCGTGGCGGGATCGGGGAGCTGAGAAATGTGTTAATATTGGAAGCTTGGCGGTGAGTCCATAATTATTACGTATCCCATACCTACAGATTGAGTAAAGTGACTGCGACTTTCCTATTCAGTGATCAAAGCTGCCCAACTGAAATGACACCCAACCATCACCCCACAGCGACACCTCACACTTTTTCGTGTGTGTACTTATTATTTTACTAAAGGTATTCAGTTTCACAAAGGGAAATACGGTTAGCGATTCGGCTTGGCCTCAGGCCAAACAGTGCTGGCGGGCCATTTTGTCCAACAATGATTCACAAGCTCTGGCCCTATCCCCTGTTCCCACTCCCACTCCCACTCCCACCTCCACAGGAGGGTCAGGCCAGAGTTGGGTAATACATGCTGAATGGATCTTGTCAGGTAGGAGCCAAATGTACCCACAAAGTAGTTACCTCAAAGAATACAGCTTATTTAGAATCCAAAGCAACTGGAAATTAAATGTTTACCAATTAGTAGTATCACATGTGCTACCTGAAAACAATCTGAGAAACATTCAACAGTATTATAGCAAAACTATTTTGATTCAGAAGTCTTAAAACAACTCCCAATTTTCCTTATTTTCTTGACCATGGCCCACTTGACATTTAAGGCCAAGCCAAACCACAACACTCTAGAATTTAGGAATTTGGAGATTTCCAACCATGAAGAAATGGTTTGTAACTGAAAACAAGGTTCCTTATATATTTCTGTGTATACCATGATGGACCACAGAAGAGGTACTGAAAAATCCACTAAAGTGTGGACAATTACAAGCAAAACTCCACTATCAATATTTTTAAGTGAAAAGTCACTTCAGTCACTTAGTGTGACTTGTTCTAATCCTACAAGAATGCAGTAGTAAGGGGCTGGGGATTTAGCTCAGCGGCAAAAGCGCCTGCCTGGCAAGCACAAGGTCGTGAGTTCGGTTCCCGGTACCGGAGAAAAACCAAAAAAAAAAAAAAAAAGAATGCAGTAGTAAATAATTAGCGGAGACTTCCCTGCATTAATTTCCTGAGAAGTTAAATCCTTTAAGAATAATCAACAAGTCTTAATTTCAGAATAAACATTTTCTGAGCAGAGCTATTCTCTCCAGCTGTAGAAGCAGCTACTGCTTGAAGACAACTTATTGCTCCAGACATATCATATATATATACATATTATATATTTATATATATATATATATAATTTATTAATTTTTTTGGTACCAGGAATCAAACTCACAACCTTGCACTTGCCAGGCAGGTGCTTGTGCCACTGAGCTATATCCCCGGTCCTCTCCATATATATTTAAAAAGGTTAGTGGGCTTACAGACCACCCACACTTAAATTCACACCCTAATTAAATCAATGGAAAAAAGTTTTAAAAGGGGGGAGGAGAAACTCAGTACTGGGGGTTGAGCTCAAGACTTTCTCAATAAGCTAAATCCCACCCTACCCCCATTTTTATTTTGAGACAAGGACTTGCTAAATTGCTGAATTGCCCAGGCTGAGCTTGACTTTGTGACCATCCTGCTTCAGCTTTCCAGACTGCTTGGATTACAAGTGTGCACCATCATTGCTGGCAGAATGAACAACCAGCCTCCAGGGAAGAGGACCCAGGGACATCTCACAAGTCTGGAGCTTCCCTGACCTTCATTGAGTTTTTCCCTGAGAGCCTCCACCCCACTTGGAACAGGATAGGTAAAAGCAAATGGTCAGTAGTATCGGGTTAATAATATCCCTTAGTTATTTCAGGCTGATCAGGTCCGCAGTCTCCCGAATGAGTGTAGGCGAAGGCTAAATAAGAGACAAATGCAATGATCTCAGAGCTCCAGGAGGATCAAAGCCCTCTCACAGAATTCCAGATTCTTACAGGGCTAAAACCACAACCTTCTCTGGATGGTCATATTTATTTAGTTAAAAGAAGGGAGGGGAGTCCTCAAGAAGGGCAGAACCACTTAAGGACTTCTCTAAGTAAGGTATTAAGTTAATCCACCCAGCAGTGAGATGCCTGAGGCTATAGTCTTTATCTAGTTCAGATCGAACCCAGGTGTCTGTGGCTGTGATCTTGTCTTATCCCTTGAGGCTTTCAGGCTTCATCTGCCATTACAGACCTTAGTAGGGATTAGTGACTCATAGAGGTTCACTTACCATAGTCCACCGCCCATCTCCAGACAAGGAGCCTAGGCCTTGGACAGACTCACAAGTAAACATGGAAAGTCAATTGGTTAATTTAAGTCCTTCTCAGGGCGGCTTCATACTGGTCTCCATCACAGCGGCCTACCAACAAGGATACCAGGGTACCTACCCCTGGCAGGAGTTTTCTCTCATGGCAGTTGAAGGACTTAGTTGGTCATTTTTTGAGCCCAGATCTTCAGGGCCCAGCTACTTCCTCTACATTGGGAGGTTTCCTGTGGGTGCCACCCCAAGGCCTTGGCCTTTCTTCTAGGAGAGGACGGAGGCCAGGAGAAGGCGCTGGCTGGATCCTGCTGATGGAGGGTGGCAGAGAGGGTGATGAAAGAGCCCTTTGGAGAGTGTGACAGTTTCTGGGGTAAGAGCATAAACTGGACCTTGTTCTAGCCCTGCCTTTCCTGGGGAGGGGACTTGGATCTGGGGGAGAACTCCTTTCCCCAGCCAGCGGAAGAGCAGGGTGTGTTGGAGAGGAGGAAGGGAGCTGCTTGAATCTTAGTCATGGCTGTTGTCCCACATTCAGACGAGGTCTGGTTTCCAACACAACCATGAAAACACAAATGGGATTTTATTATTAAAAAGGAAGAAGGAGCCAGGTGTGGTGGTGCACGCCTGTAATACCAGCACTTGGGAGGCTAAGGCAGGAGGATCGTTGTGAGTTCGAGACCAGCCTGGGCTACAAAGTGAGCTCAAGGCCGGCCTGAACTGCATAGGGAGACCCTGTCTCAAAAAGACAAAAAATAAATAAATAAATAAATAAATAAATAAAAA